GAACTTTTTGATGTAACAAACTGGCATTAGCGTTACATGGAGAGAAAAACTACGAAAACCTCCTTGGTTAGTCTGACGGCAAGGGGACTCTAACCCCTGATCCGTCTACCACTGAGGATATTTTACGTCAGCACTGTGACAATTTCAATTGTGCCCAATTTCATCAATTTCTCCGAAACTAATGAAAATTGCATTAATTTCAGGATTCTCTAAAAATTGTCTCAATGCATCTACACCAGTCTTTTTTTTAAAAAATAATTTTGCTATTTTAAGTCATACAAGTAAGAAACATTTTTTGAGTTTAGCCTTAACTGTCAGGAATATAAGTTTATTTCCCAGCAGATGCAATTATAATAATTAATTTTAATATCAATTAAGATAAATTATATACTTATAATAAATTATACACTTTTAATAAACTACATACTTATAATAAACTACATACTTATAATAAACTATATACTTATAATAAACTATGTACTTATAATAAACTATATACTTATATAAGTATATAATTAGTTATTACATTTATTGCAGATATGTTGTTATCGTAGGTCATTAATGCAAGAAGTGCGATAGCTCTTGTTTTCCAATGGCGCCATTAGTGGCCAAGAATTTGACTTCTGTTGCATCCATACGTCACACCCGTTTATAGGACGGACACATTCTTACATCTATTCATTCATCCACAGATCGTAATTTTGACCTGAACCTGAAAGCGATCAATTTCTAATTCAGTACCCCGAGAAGTATAACTTGTTATGGGAACATGGAGGAATTTGTGAGTCGACGGATTTAACATGCACCAGTCACCATTTACTACACGGGAAATCTTCGGCCTGCTGGATACAAACTCCCGTTCTTGCGAACGTGAGTCCAGCTCCCTGTCACCCTGGCTATTCCGGCCTTGCAACTATGTAATTATATAAAATAAACATATAAAATATAATAAAATGATTTTTGCTGCAATATGCGCAGCATCGGACCCAGGAAAAGGTTAAACATATGCAGGCATTAAACCGTTAAGGGTTAATATATTTCGAAATAAAATTCAAAATACAAGAACGCCTTCTTCAATTTGATAAATACAATAAAAATTTAATCGGGAATATTTATTACAAATATGAAAACTTTATAAAGCGAAATTGTAAATTTAGCGTTCATAATATCTACAAGTTTTTAAATTTCCTATTTTTTCGCTTTGATCAGTAACGAACGCAGTGTTCATGTAGCAAATTTAATATTACCTTCACCCTCTTTATAGCAGGTAAAGAAAAATTATAATATAATATTTCTACAATAAAGTGACAAATTAATAAGTGATTGTTTTATCCTTAATTAAAATTGACTACATGTTTACATTCTTTTCAGAAACCCGTTTCGAAAATTTAATTTATTTCCCTAAGGTTTCAGTTATTATTTTAAAGTAAAATATTATTTTATTTTTATTTTTTTCAATATATTTTTTCTCGAAAGATGAGTTAATCTTTATCAATGTCATAAATTGAAAGGAAAGTAGTTTATCTTTTAGTAATTTTCTAAAGTGGAAGAGAAATTTCTTTTTTTCTCCACAAACTCGGTTTCAAGAGACGTGAAATCAGTTCATTGAACTAAAATGATTGATATGCTGTTAAAACTTGTCCAAATGCCATAAAAATAAAATGTATTTGATTGTGGAAAAATGTTGCCGACCGATATATACTTTTTAGATATCAACTTTGGACAACCTTTCTGATAACATTATTTTATTATAAACTTTTATGTATGTGCCTAGTACAAAACGTTTAATACAAAACTTTCTTTAAACACATAACCTTTTTGAGTAAAATATAGTAAATTTCAAACAATCCTTTCAGACGTGTATAAAAATATTAATGAGATAAAATATTTCTAATATTTATCAACTTTAATTTAGCTTAAGTTGGTGTTTTTATATATATTTTTTTTAAAAAATCAAGCAATTTGATTTAAATTCGATATTGTTGCTAAAAATCAGATTTATTTTTCAATTTGTAAAATTCTTTAAAGTTTGTACGAATTTAATGCAATTAAGAAATTAATAAATTGTGTATAGGCCTAATACAAAACGTTTAATTCGAAACTTTCTTTAAATACATAAAATGTTTGAGTAAATTGTAGGTAATTTCAAACAATCCCTTCAGATGTGTATAAAAATATTAATGGGATAAAATATTTCCATTATTTATCAACTCTAATTTAGCTTAAGTTAGTGTTTTTATATATTTTTGAAGAAAAAATCAAACAATTTGATTTAAATTCGATTTTGTTGTTCAAAATTAGATTTATTTTTCAATTTGTTAAACTCTTTAAAAAATTTAGTTTATAATTAGTTAAATTTTATGAATTTAATGTAATTAAGAAATTAATAAAAAATTGTGTATATGCCTAATACAAAACGTTTAATTCAAAACTTTCTTTAAACACATAACTTTTTTGAGTAAATTATAGTAAATATTTAACAATCCTTTCAGAAAGATGTGTATAAAAATATTGATGAAATAAAATATTTCTACTATTTATCAACTTTAATTTAGCTTAAGTTTGTGCTTTTTTTTACATATTTGTTTTGTTAAAAATTTGATTTAAATTCGATTTTGTTGTTTAAAATCGGATTTATTTTTCAATTTTTTAAACTCTTTCAGAAATTTAGTTTGAAATTAGTTACATTTTGTAAATTTAATGTAATTAAATTGCAATTTACTGGAACATCATATTAAAAGACAAAATTGCTTTCTACTAAATTACAAAAATGTTTATATATATTTGATAGTTATAAATTAAGCTAGACAAATATTTAACTAAACAACAACTAGCTGAAATTAATAAGAAATCGTTTAGGTCTTAATACCTATAGGCTAAACCTATGTACTAATTTGAATAAAGCTAATTAAGAGTTTCGTAAACCAGCTTTAAGTTAAAAAAGTATAAATAATATGACTAATTAGCTTTGAATTGTTTTTAAACAAGCTGAAAACGAACTCTTCAATTTAATTAATTTTTTTTGGGGTTCGAACTACATGTTTTTTCAATTACGCAGTTAAAGCTCTGACTTTAACGATTTTATCTACTTCAACGAACTCTGTTTTTGCGATGTTTAAAACTCTTTTGACATTTTTTCCCCGCAGTCTACCCTTGCTACAATTTAGTCATGCGTTAATTAAAAAAAGAGGAGAAATATTTATTTTCTTGTCAGCGTATCCGGTCTGTCGACGAAATAGAATTTCTAAGTAAATACAAAGTTAGCGTAAGAAAGTAATACATATGTAGGTACTAAGTTGAGCTCTTTCTTTTTAGATGCCGAAGTAGTCGATTCCGATTCAAAAAAATTTGGAACTGCCTCGTGGCATATACGTATTTTATTAGAGTTTTGGGGATTTTATTTCAAGAACAAAATGTGAAGAAAAACTGTATAAAAATATCCTATAATATGCAATAAAATTAAAATTTAAAATTCATACATTTTTTATTTAATTATTTAAAATATCCAAAAAATTAAATTTAATTAATTGAATTTTTTTAAAAAATATATATATTTTTTGATTTATAAGTTAACTTTCTTCTTAGCTACATTTATCTAAGTAAAAATAGCATTTTCAGGCATTAATTTACACAAATATTTTGGACATTTCTTTATTATAAAAATATTTTTACTAAAATGGTTTGTACGTCTTTCAAAATTTGAAAGTTAATTTTAACCTAGGAATATTTCTCACAGAAATTATAATAGCCTTAGATAAAAAAATATTTTCTTTTATTTATTATTTTTTTGTTAATTTCTATTTGTTATTTGTTCTTTTATCTACTCCAACGAACTCCGTTTTTGCAATGTTTAAATCCCCTTTGATATTTTTCTTTTGCAGTCAAATCTTGCCACAGTTTAGTTATACGTTAATTAAAGAAAGAAGAGAAATATTTATTTTCTTGTCAGAATATGCGGTTTGTCGACGAAATGGAATTTCTTAGTAAATACAAAGTTATCTTAAGAAAATAATACATATGTAGGTACTAAGTCGATCACTTTTTTTTAGCTACCGAAGTAGTCGATTCCGATTCAAATAATTTTTTGGGCTGCTTTATAGCATATACGTATTTATTAGAGTTCAGGGGATTTTATTTCAAGAACAAAAGGTGAAGAAAAACTCTGTAAAAAAATATACTACCATATGCAATAAAATTAAAATTTTAAATTTATAAATTTCTTATGTAATTTTTATGAATAGGTAGATAGACAGTTAAGTATTTATTTATAATAATTTTGTATAAAAACTAAGAAAAGACATTTGTATGAAGACTAATAGAAATAAAAACTAAGTAATTATTCAGATTTATTTTTTCTTTTCTTAAACAGCTGTAGGTATTTTGAACAATAAATAATGCTATGGTGTTGCATGCTGTCAAACAACGTAATTAGAATTTTTAAAAAAAGCGCCAAGCTTTGTAATAACTTGCTCAAAATGTTTCAATTCAAAATATATAGAACTTCATATTTATTTGGGGACATATTGTTCTATAGGAACTATTAAATGTGCGAATTTTGAAAGCTAATATATTTTTATATTATCTTTTTAACGTTAAGAAATGAGCTAAAATTTCTGCATTATATATAGAAAATTAGTGTACAATGCTTTGTAACCAAAACACCGTTATGATGTGCTTTTTTTTTATTTGAAAATAACTACTTTAGTGTGAAGAAGATAAATGACCCAATTAATGGCGAATACTTGAATAGTTTTCTTATTTTCAATTGGGGGATCAAGAAAAAGTTAAAAAAAAGGTATATTCTGAAAAAATAATTTATCGTATCTGATTTCTTAATTCAAAAATCGTATGCACTAATTAGTAAACATTTTGTGTCTTTAAAAACTATTAAGTTTCCATCTTAGTGCGTGTTCTGTTTTTTCTTTAGTTTGCGCACTGTACAGATAATTTATGATTGTAATATTAACTTATCTTAATTTTTATTTATCTTTTTATTTTAGGTAAAGGCTAAGAAATGGTATTGAACATTGATGGAATACTACCAGGTAATAATTTTATCAATGTAATACAAATTAAACATTGATATTACGACATTTAAAAAAACAATAAATAAAAAAAAAAAATTTAAAAAAGAGGAGAAACAGTGACACAGTGAACCAAAAAAATATTAATTTTGTTGCAGATTTAAGTAATACTATGGTTTAGAGGAGATTGTAATCGGCAACAGTGTACGCGTAGATCAAATATATCGGGAAGATTTTACTGTGTAATATAAACACCCTTACAAAAAAATCCTGTTGGTCGATCTACTTCCCGCTTAAGTGCAAATGCAGTAATTACGACTAGTAGAAATTTGGGAAATATAACAGCATCTATCTGGAGAAAATACTAGGCAACAGCTTGATGTTCAAGCATATTTGAAAAATAGTAGCTTATATTTGTATTGCTCAAACGTTTCATTTATACTGATACTTCTGAAAAACATTTCGTGTACTTTTATCTAATAGTATATGGATATTTCAAGTTTTTGCAATTTGATATTGTTTTTTAATAATTTTAAAACCATAACCAAGCATTAATAATAATAATTATTCTTTTAAAAAATATCGCACTTGCGACTTTTAATTTTTCACAGGAAATATAATCTTTTCTTCATGTTGATATTTCATATTTATGACTAGAAAAAAAACCCAAATGTTTTTTTTTTAGTATGAAAAGAATGCATACATATTTAAACTTCGGCTTAAGCGTACTACATTAACATATTTTCAATTTAAAAGATTCGTAAATGTGATTATTTTTAATTATTCATGGTGGATTAAGAGACTCCATTATAATGCTAGTTTAAAGAAGACGTTACTCAGTCTAGAAAAATACAAGTGACAAATGTTTAAAGAAATGATCTAAACTTGCTTATGAAAACGTGCTCTGAAATTTAATTGCGTTTTAGCGAAATATTTTTTTTTCAATTACGATTGGCTATTTGGTTGTTATTTGCGTTTTTGAATTTTCTTAAAAAATTGCCATTTGAGCACAGTATTTTAAAATGTCGTCGTTGTATGAAACTATATTGCATACAGTGCGCAAAAAAAAAATGTGTATAGCTTTTGTTTTAATGATCGGCTTTTATTGAACCAAGTGGCAACCTTAATGGTTCAAAGGGGTGATCTCAAATATGATAACTCACTGTTGCGAAATCTGAAAAAAACGCACTTTCTGTATAGAAATAAACTTTTTGCCGGATTTGGATTCTTGACTTCAAATAGGTAGAGGCGTAGCAGCAAGCTGGAAAATATGGTCACAAAAATTTAGTCAGGAGAGCTGTTGAAAGCTTGGACCTGAAAATGCTGTCTTACTTTTATTTCATTTTGTATTTTATAACCGTAGTTGAACAGCCAACCCAACTTTGGGTTAGCAAATTTTGAACCCAATTTTGAATCCAATACAGAAGACAAGGTAACTTGTGGATCAAGTATTGGGAGATATTTGCTCTCGTGGTGAACTTTTTTATGGAACTAACCTACATTTTGCGTAAAATGGGTCGAATTTTTTAATTGTTAAATGCTTTTGATTTGCTCTAAGAAAATAAGTACATCGATAATACATTCCTTTCTTTTGAAATAACATCCATGTTTCTCGAGTGCATGTGAAAGTGCTGCCAAAGTGATTGTCTATTTTTCTTAATGACTAGTTTAGATATTAGTTATGCGTGATTTTGTATACGTAATTTCTGTTAACGCTCAGCTGCAGCCACAGGGTCATTTTTATTGCATCCATTGACGGACTCCGCAAAGATTTGCCTCCATCAAATTCGAAAACTTAGTGCTAGAACTATGTTTATTTTCTAAACTAACGTTAAAAGTAGTTGTGCTAGAACCAAGTTTCTTTTCTAAACTAACGTTAAAAGTAGTTGTGCTAGAACCGAGTTTCTTTTCTAAACTAACGTTAAAAGTAGTTGTGCTAGAACCGAGTTTCTTTTCTAAACTAACGTTAAAAGTAGTTGTGCTAGAACCGAGTTTCTTTTCTAAACTAACGTTAAAAGTAGTTGTGCTAGAACCGAGTTTCTTTTCTAAACTAACGTTAAAAGTAGTTGTGCTAGAACCGAGTTTCTTTTCTAAACTAACGTTAAAAGTAGTTGTGCTAGAACCGAGTTTCTTTTCTAAACTAACGTTAAAAGTAGTTGTGCTAGAACCGAGTTTCTTTTCTAAACTAACGTTAAAAGTAGTTGTGCTAGAACCGAGTTTCTTTTCTAAACTAACGTTAAAAGTAGTTGTGCTAGAACCGAGTTTCTTTTCTAAACTAACGTTAAAAGTAGTTGTGCTAGAACCGAGTTTCTTTTCTAAACTAACGTTAAAAGTAGTTGTGCTAGAACCGAGTTTCTTTTCTAAACTAACGTTAAAAGTAGTTGTGCTAGAACCGAGTTTCTTTTCTAAACTAACGTTAAAAGTAGTTGTGCTAGAACCGAGTTTCTCTTCTAAACTAACGTTAAAAGTAGTTGTGCTAGAACCGAGTTTCTCTTCTAAACTAACGTTAAAAGTAGTTGTGCTAGAACCGAGTTTCTCTTCTAAACTAACGTTAAAAGTGGTTGTGCTAGAACCGAGTTTCTCTTCTAAACTAACGTTAAAAATAATTGTGCTAGAACCGAGTTTCTCTTCTAAACTAACGTTAAAAATAATTGTGCTAGAACCGAGTTTCTCTTCTAAACTAACGTTAAAAGTAGTTGCAAGGAATCGCAACAAACTTTTTTCTTTTTGCTGCCTCTGCATTTCTTTATGGAATAAGGATGATGGCAAGGGTAAAATTATAAAACTAATTAATAGAATAAAAGTAATTAAAAAACACATTTCTTTGCATGAGACTTTTATTGTTTTCTTGGTTGAATTTTAATTTAAAAGAAAAATAAATGATAAAATGAGTGATTTAAATGAATGAAAAATTTGTCAAGTATTTTCGAAAAAAATTCAAAATGACGAAATGGAGATTATACAATATCTTTTGTCCATATGATATAAATTCAAAATGGAAGGGATTATGAATATAATCCACAATTATAAATTCTTAATTTACAACTCATTTTTAAAAATACACTTAGTAAATTTCAAGTAATGTAAATATATTTACAACATGCATATTTAATTGTTATTTTATTATTACTTTTATTTTATTACGATAGATATTTCTAATTTAGCTAAAGCTAAAATTGCAACTGCGAAATAATCCTCTTATATCTATGAAATATCTCTTTCTAGGAAATATTATCGAGATTAATTTATTCAAATCCGGAACAAAGATCCATTTACGTAAACGTAGAATAAAAGAAATGTTATTAAATTGAACTTATTATTCTTTTTCAATTTATATATTTTATCACATACTATATTATCTAACTATGCGCACATTTTTTATAAAAAAATATTTGCTTGAATAAAATAGAATATATACAAGATATAGATTTAATATGATAGGTGAGTGTGCATAATTTATTACTAAAATCAAATCTTCAGCTAAGCATCTAGATTTTGATTTATGGTTCCAAGCAAAATTAATATTTATACCTTACATTTATTTAATATAAATTATGGAAAAGCATATTAACTAACATGAATGGACGTGATTTATGATACAAGCAAGCTTAATGAATTATTTATTTTATCTTGATGTTATTTCAGACTTTTGTTTCAGTTAGGAAAATATTAATATTAGATAGAAAGCGAGGTATTGAATTTAAGAATACTTGAAAATAAGAATACTTGAGAATAAAAATTATTATTCTGCGTTTACAATAAGATACATAAATAAGATTAGCTAGTATATAAATTATAGATGAGAGAATAACAATACGGATTTTTTATGTTTTAAATCTTAAAATAAAATAACTCATGAAATGATTGATGTTTATTTAAATTAATTTTGCTGATGTTATTTCTTTGATTTTAAAAATGAGAAGAAAAAGCTCTGTAAATGGGATAATATTGTATTTCTTTGATTATTTTGCGAAATAATTTACTTTGGCTGTCAACGTAATCTTGGTTCCAATTCGTCCCAAAAGAATTTAATGATCGGTGCTGTGAGAAGGCTTGTCCAGTTTTTGAAGGCCGATTTCATTAAACCATGATACCGCAAGTCTGAATGCGTGAACTCTGCTGTTATCCTGCTGAAAGAGAAAATGGACCTTCTCCGAAATATTACCATAGAGCAAAAAATTCCCACTAGGGTAGCAATTTTCATCTGTGTGCAATTCTTATTGCGAAAGAAATGCTTATCGTGGAAGCAATTCTCATCGTGGTAGCAATTCTTATCGCGAAAGAAATGCTTATCGTGGAAGCAATTCTTATCGCTGAAGCAAATCTTATCGCTGAAGCAATTCTTATCGCTGAAGCAATTCTCATCGTGGAAGCAATTCTCATCGTGGAAGCATTTCTCACCAGGGTAGCAATTTTCATCTGGGTAGCAATTCTTATCACGAAAGCAATTCTCACCATGAAAGCGATTCTCTCCGTGGAAGCAATTCTAATGTTTGAAGCAATTTTCATCATGGTAGCAATTCTCATCGTGGTAGCAATTCTTATCGCAAAAGAAATGCTTATCGTGGAAGCAGTTCTTATCACTGAAGCAATTCTCGTCGTGGAAGCAATTCTCACCAGGGTAGCAATTTTCCTCTGGTTAGCGATTCTTATCATGAAAGCAATTCTCATCGTGGTAGTAATTCTTATCGCGAAAGAAATGCTTATCGTTGAAGCATTTCTCATCGTGGAAGCAATTCTTGTCATGGAAGCATTTCTCTTTGTGGAAGCAATTCTCATTATGGAAGTATTTCTCGTCATGGATGCAATTCTCATCATTGCATCCACAGGACCCTCTAAGTCTGTATCACTAGCTGCCCGAATACAATTGGACAGATGGTGTATACATAAGCTGTATGACTAACAATATTAAACGCGTTTTTCTCTAAACATTAATTTTTGAACTGCGCAGAAGCGTAGTGGACGTGAAATTGGCAGAAACTTTGTATGTTACTTTGTATGGATTATTCTATAGAAATGTATTTACATAATGTATATAATTTTCTTCAAAAAATATTTGCGTCATTTTTATCCAATGTTTTTGATTCTCAGTACACAGATATTTTGGAGGAACCATAATATACTTCCAAATTGCTGCAACTGTAATACGGTGCTGCGTTGACCCATATAATTTTGTACTTCTCGAGCTTGATTACAAGAACAACTATTCTAACTTGAATTGTAGCAATGATCAGCTTTATGAGTCATTTTGAAGAAATTTGGGTCCATTTACAGACCTTTCACAAACATTTTTATTGTTAAATCGGATATCTTCCGAGGAAACGAGTTTATGCTCTAAACGGAAATTTCACAAACATTTTATGTCAAAAAGTGTCTCTTCAAAAATTACTAAATAGCTAAAACGGAATGGTAACAAAACTTTTCTTTTGAAAAACATAGTCAATAACGCATCTTCAAATAAAAATTCTAAAATTTAAATTCATGGAAAGACATGATTTTTTTTATTGCATAGAAACAGGACAAAATTATTCACAAAATTATGAGTTTATTTTTCACAAAACGCTCATTTCACAAAATGAGTCTAAGCAGACCACTAGTTTTTGCGATGGTTCACAATATCAGGACAATATTTCAAAAAATGGTTCGTTTGCGGAAAATCTAGAACTGGGATCGCTAAATTTATGAAGTTTTTGAGCTACTGTACTGTTTTTAAATCCCATAGCGTAAGCTAAAAGAGATGCCGGGTTTTTAAAAAATAAATTAGTTTATTGCCTATAAACTTACTTAAGCCTGTTAGCCAACAAGAGTCTTAACGTGATCTACCGAAAATATTCCGCGAACTACTAGTAGTTCACAATCAGAAGCACGGCACTTGTTTAGAACAATCTCTGAATTTATAACCTTATTAAAACTGTAACAAATTTGCTCTTTAATGTAGTTCAACGTAGAACTGATTTTTCAAAGAGTTTAAAAGCTCTAAAGAAGAAGAGAATGTTTGGAACATTCATTAGAACAAAATTTGATTGTATTCTGTAATGCATTCCATTTCCAACTATAACTGACATCCCTTATAAATTGGAATAAACAGGGTTTGGGGTCAAGATTTATTATGATTGGCGCAGTACAGGTGAAATCAAATCGCTTGCCAAGAAGCCAGACTCGGAAGCGGTGTATTTGATTTGTGGTTTGAAGTAAATTAATACTCAATCGTAGCATTTAATTTAAACAGACTATCATCATATGGTTCTGGTTGTGTTAGAGAAATAGAGCCTAAGTAATTTGTTTATGCTTAAAGTAATTCTCAAAATAAAATATAGATGGCAGCATAAAGTCACGTGATTAGTAAATGTTAATTTTTGTTTTATGTACATGTAGTTTAGTTCTCTATGTGTTTTGTCTCAATAAAGTTGTGTAATTAAAACCGGCATGGTAATTTCTAAATGATTATTTTCCCCGAGACGAATATCCTTTTACATAATTCTTTTTTGTTTTTAGCTATGTTATACAAGCTTAGTATTTAATTAACTCGTATAAGTAAGTGTTTGACTTACTATTTAAAAGATATTATTTCAAATGAGAAAAAAATCCTCCTGGCTTCAATTGTTTAGATAAATTGATGTGACTATATATTTTATTTTATAACCATCGGTGAAAAACCGACCCATTTATTTTAGTTAACGGCTACTAATAATCAACTCCGTAGCCTTGTAATTTTGAACCCTATTCAGAAGACAACTCTTGGATCAAGTATTGGGAGAAATTTACCTTCGTGGTGGACTTTTTTTAATAGAACTAACCTGCGTTTGCGTTGTAAGGAGAGGAAAACGATGAAAACCTCCTACGGTTAGCTTTACGGAGAGGGGACTCTAACCCATGATCCGCCTATCATTGCGGATATTTTACATCAGCATTGCAGTCGGTGCGAGGCGGGTGTGGATTTCGTTTCGAACAGCCATCGCTGGGATTCGAACTCGGGTCACCTCATTTGGAGGCAAACGCTCTATCCACTAAGCCACCGCGACTCATCTATTATATAATAGATTTTGGATCAGCTTTAATAAAAGAATGATTTTTCAAATTTTTACTTTTAATACTATACGTGGATAATTAGGCTTAATAATTAGTTATCTTTTTTTGCCTCCATTTTCATGGTATTCCGCCAGCTTTTTTTCCTTTCCCTTTTTATTTCAAATACAAACTGCACTTAGCATCATTCAAAAAAATAATATATTCAGTTTAATGCAATCTGTGTTTTTTTAATCAATGTTTTAAGTATTATGACTTAAGAATACTGAAATCGCACTTACTAAATTTGTTTGCAAACTTTAAAAAGAACTAGATCCAATGCCCTATTCTATATCAATTCACTATTTTATAACAATTCATTTTTCTTATTTTTTTTTTTTTTTACGATTTAATTTATTTCTTAGAAATATCCCTTTTTTCGTATTACTGAACCCTACTGATGAATATTGGTGAATATTGGCCCAATTTTGCATCAATTAATACCTTTACCTTTACCATTTTTACCTTTTTTATAGTAAAAAAATAAAATGTGCCAAAAATGCTCCTTTTCACTTTCTAAATTAGAAAGAGCACCAACCAATAACTACCATTTAGAATAATTTGAACTTTTTCACAAGTAAGCATTCCTATATCAGTTTTTAAAATTTATGATAATTATTTATTTACTTACATAATTACTTACTTTTTATGTTTAACGATTACTTGGTGCTTTTATG